CTCCAATTATCTTGATTGGCTCTTGTCATAGGATTATGGCTGTCTGATGTTGAGAGTATCTTTCTTATTTTATTTGCCGTGTTCCTTCAGATCTTTCTGTCCCTTGCTTGTAGCCCTTAATAAGTTTTGTCTTTTTACTATCTCTTCCAAACCTTATTCTACCATGCATTTACTCAAGCTCATCATGTTTGTTTTGTGCTGCTTCCCTCTGTCCCTCTTTCCCTCAATCTATCCTGTGAGTATCAGGATTTCCAAGCCCTCCTTCCTCATTAAGTGCTCCAGAAATTTTAACTGTCTCTTCCTGATATTAAGTATAAGTTTCCTTTTTGTTTCTATTTTCTCCAAAACCTTGTTGTTGCTCACATGTTCAGTCCATGGTATCCTCAACATCTTTCTGTAGAACCACATTTCTGTTGCTTCAAGTCTCTTCTTCCTCTTTGAGGAGAACGTCCAGCATTTGCTGCCATACAGGAGGACAGATACCACATAAAAATTCAGTACTTTTTTCTTTGTTTTAAACAAAATTTCTCTGCCTCTAGTGATAGAAAAATAAAAATTTCACAATATCAAAAAAAGAAAAAAACACAGAAAAGTATAGAACCATTTTGGTTTTCTATAAAGAAAGAAAATAAAGGAGGCCAAAAGGTCATCATTCTTAAATATAGGTGAATAAAAGAGATTGTCAAATGAGTCCTACCTGTGAACCAATCAGAAAGCAAAAGACAATTCTGAAATGAATTCCTTTGTCTCAGAAAAGGTATAAGCATAGAGAGATAATCAGGCAAGCGAAACAGAGAGTTGATGAAATAATTTTGGCTGTTCTCACATGCCCTACATTATCAGGCCCCTTAAGTCTTGCAGAGAGCCGAAGGGATTACTACTACCAAAAAATGCATACATACTTGCACATTAAGATTACAAGGACTCTCTCTCACACATATATATATATATATATATATATATATATATATATATAGATAAACCTAGTGAGCCAGACAAACCTACCTAGGTTTCACCTAAACGGATCGTCATGGAAAGTCAAGCTTGACTTTCCATGACGATCCGTTTAGGTGAAACCTAGGTAGGTTTGTCTGGCTCACTAGGTTTATCTAGGTCTGCTCTACGGTTGTATTGAGCTCTTTAGAATTAAACAACACGTACCTGCGATAATACTAAACAAAAAATTTTCTTTGGGCGATACCATTCGTAACACTTATGGGTCTTCGATTGCGGATCATTTTATAAAGAATCCAACTTGTGCGATGGATTTCAGTGTGAACTGGTTTTCCGTCTTGGCCAGTTTGCACTCACTTTTCCATCTCAAGGTGTTGGAATCGCTTTACATCAGGTCCAAGCGGCCTTCTCTTTGCAAACAAAGAGATTGTTTGCTTGGACTTGCTGTTCTGCGCTTCTAGCAGCTTGGTTGGTATAATTTTATCTTTCCTTCCTTCCCTGTCCATTCATTCATGTCACCCATGACAGACTTTTTTCTTTTTCCTCATAATCTAAATTCCCCGTTAACAGTTCTGACGAGAGGGGACGAAACCGGTCGACTGGTGTGTGTTTTATTTTAAACTTATCATGGCCTGCAATACAACATTTCTAGTTTTTAATGCCTTAATACGCTTTTGTACCGTTTCTAACCTATTTAAATATATATATATATACACACTAAATATTTATACCAGAGCCCATGTGGTAATGGTAATATGAGATGTTTTCTTATAAACATTCAGCATTCAGTGACTGAGAATTTAGACTGCTGTTGGTTGAAATTTATAAAATCTTTCACTTTAAACAAATTTTCAGGAAAATAGATTTAAGTCCAGTTTCTAATATTGATGGGGGTTTCCTTCCTTGCCTTTTGTTTGGGGTAGAGTGGAACATCAACATCTTGATTATGTCATTATTTTCTCTCTTTGACTTACATGCATTATTCATTCTAATTTTGGCTGTTGTTGAAAGTCCTGATATGATGTTTGTTTTCGTTATTTGGTACAGTTCTTTGTGATTCTATAACACCAGTCCACAAGGTTCAAAGAAGTATAGTCCTCTATAAGACCTACAGGCTTCACTCACTCAAAGACATTTTTTAACCATGAATCTGAGAAAGTGGGCGTATACAGCTGACAGTTGAGATATTTCTGAGTGAGTTTGGCACCAGTTATGGCATCCATATGTAAGTCTCAATCTGATGAGGCTATTTAAGAACATCTCATTTAGATTGTCATGTACATAAAGAAATACATAAATAAAAAAAAATTAATTATACTGTCACTGTATTGTGTCCATAAAATATAAATAAAAAATTAATTATAGTGTTAAAAATAATTATAGTAAAATAATTATAACAATTATAATTATCATTAATTCACTGAGAGAACTGATCCCACTTTTCTCCTCTACACACGCAAACACATAACATTCTCATTATCGGACAGGCAGTTCACATGGACTGGTCATTAACATGTATGTCAAGAAAATTTTGTCTCCTTTTCCTTTTTCAGGCCATAATAGTAACATTTATCTTCTAATACTCTACAAAAATTTGAGGTAAGTAAACCCCAGACATTTCTTGTGTTTTCTAACTAAATTATCTGGACACCTGTTATACATATCTATAAAACAAAGACATACAAGAAAGACTGTATACATTTTTATTCTTTATCTTATCATTGTCAGATTCTGATCCATATTTTATCTACATTTGACCCCAAACTCACAATTTTACTTTATTAATTTTACAGTATTACCATCTCTTGTTTCTGCAACACCACATAACAACCAGATAATAAATAATACTTATTTTATTGTTTCCATGTCTTGCCGCTTATCAGTTTTGCAAGTATATTTCTATATATAAATGTTGGGGGGGGGAGTTATAATTATTTACTCAGAATTAACTCAAGGTTAATATTTTGGTTTTGTAGTTGCTTGTGGTGTTGGCCAAATCTATCCATAACATAACCTATCTATGTTCAATTTCTTTTCTCCTATGCTAAATTTTTTGTAACTCATCTATACACCAAGATATTTGAAGTGTTTTGTATTTAGTAATTCCACATCCTGGATTTTTATGACAGATTCAGGATACATGCCATCACTGCTTTCATTTCATAGTCTTGCACAAATTATGGGTGACTATAAACAACCACTTAAGTACTACTAGGTTTTTAGCCTATTAGTGTTCACAAAAAAATATATATATATATATATATATATATATATATATATATATATATATATTTTTGTTTTTTGTATGAATGATTCTTGAATTTATAAATTACAATTTGCACCTTTAATTGAAATTAAAATAACTGATCCAACATGCAACTTTCGGATAAGTGTGACATTACTGTAATTATTGAACAATATAGTTCATGCCACATAGATGGAAAATCTACCAATAAAAAATAATTCTCTTTTGTACAAAAACGCACAACCTTAAACTTTAAATTCAAACTCAGCGTTGTGACCGCACGTTCCATAACAATAACACATTTCTCATAGCATTTTTTCGGATTACATCTCTATTTTCGTTGTCCTCTTATTACCAAGAAGTAAAAACAAGAACAAAATCTATTTCCATACCTGAGGATGTCTGTAGGAACAGACGAAAGCTTGTAAAAATTAAAAGACCTTATGCAAATGGAATTTATGAACAGGGATCATATCATTCATATACAGGTTTGGGGTTGATGTATCTTATTTATATTGTTTGCAAAGATGTATTCTCGCCATTTAAATCATTAACCTCTATATTTGTTTTTGTATGAATGATTCATGAATTTTATATATATATATATATATATATATATATATATATATATATATAGGATTAATACAAATAAAATTTGTCACTGATTTGATGTTATATTCAACACATCTTAATCCCAGAGTTTCATAGGCAAACCTTTTTGTAATTGTTCAGTCCACTCTTCAGGAGGTTTTAGCAATTGACTTCTGATTTTCTCATTTTTCATTATCTTTATACTAAATTTCCTAAAACAGTATGGATATAGAAAACAACATTTTATTATTACTAGCAATTTCACAATTTAATTTATCATCAGACCATGGTGATGTCCTATCTTTGATATTGAGTACATTTCACCCATAAATATCTTCTTCATTTATGTGGCATGTCCTTTCAGGACGTGGGCGATCATGGCTCTCCACAACCTTCTACCTCTTGTAGACCTTAGTAATGTTTGTCCTTTTATCAAAATTCTCTGGTTCCACAATCCATTCAAACAAGCTTGCATGCTAAGTTAGTTTTAAGCACTATATCTGTATATTATAATGTTATTTTATACAAGATAATATCATTCATATATATATATATATATATATATATATATATATATATATGTAGGTGTGTGTGTGTGTGTGTGTGTTATAAAAATTTCCTCATGAGAGCGCACAAGAATTAATCCTCTCGTTCACTTTTCTTTGAAGAACTTAACAACATGAAACAAATGTTAGTTAATAACAGTTTTCCAAATTATGTTATAGGTTGCTGTGTTAGACTTTTTATTTCTAAGGTAACCAATAGCAACATTGAACATACAGAAAAAACAATGACATTAACATTTTCTATAAAAATCAAATGCATAGTGAGTATAAACAAGATGAATCTTCACTTAGAATAATTATAAAGAAACATATACAACTCCAAAAACAAGAAAATTAAATTATCTACTATAAAAAATTTAAGACTTCTAACCTCATTGTCTACAATAGTAACTCACCTGTAAGATCCAAATTACAGAGAATTAATATTATTTATAAATATACGTGTTCCTTAAGGAACTGTGTTCTTGATCCATCCAAATTCATAAATAGTTATATTGGATATACTACAATATATATATATAAATCATTGATAGAAAACCGCTTCTCAAAATCTTATTAAATTACCAAATATTAGAATTTGTTTTGGAATCTCTTTTTGGTACATCTGAGAACTTTATGAAAAACTGAAAGAAAAACAAACTCACCTGGTTATCTCCTAAACCAATGTCAAACTCTTCAATAAAGTTACTCGTAAAATTTAATTCCTGCTCGAAATGTGGATCCTCAATACTGTTCGATCCATCCAGCACAAAGACAATATCTACTGGATTTCCTTGGCAATTTAAAGGTGGTTTTACTGAAAAAATTGAAAAAGGGAATAAATTAGCTTATTGCATTACTTGTCGTTAACATTAATAATAGTAATAATTAGAAGAAGAGCGTGGTGTTCCTGAAAATGAAGAAACTACCACTTATTTTTTCTCCTTAACTGATTGTAATATTTGTTCCCAACTTAAAAGTCCTTCTGCCACTCTCTAGTGGGAGGTGAAGTGATCTATCCCATAAAAGTTGACTCACTTGAATTGGTGTCAACCAAATGAACAGGTCTTCAAATTTTGGTAAAAAAAATCTAACAATAAAATAGTCAGTCCTAAATGTAAGCTATGTGATCTTTTATGCAAGTAATTTGAAATTTTGTTTTTATTTAATAATTTATTTATTCTCTTGATAAACTAAAGAACTACCAGATGCAGGCTACCTCTGTACATGAGATTGAACTATTATCAGTATATCCAAGCTGGTGATAACACAGCATCATTAGGCACAGGGAGTTCTATACTGGCCCATGACAAGGGTGGAGGGTTTCCGGATTGTATCAACAGCCACGTATCTTGTAACTAAGGCATGTCTTCATGTAGGAGGACATTGGCTGTGGCCTGACTTAGAGTGGGATGAAGTTCATCAGGTTTACTTTGCCTAAGACACTATGCATGAATGAATACCTATTGAGATATGTGGAGGGAGATGAACAGGTATTCACTTGGGAAGTGACTCTATGACCACACCCAGCCATGGGAGGGATGATGATGAGTGAAACAGAAGGCAGGACATGATGGTTGGCAACAATTGTAGAAGTTTGGGAAGAACAAGACGACATGCAGGAAATAAACAAAGTGGATAAACAAAGAGAAAAGTCAGCATTAAATTGTAAGCAGTGGGTTTGATAATCCCTAGAATCCCTTGCAAGTAGATCCAACCATCATTGCATCCTTAAAGATAGAACAAACTCACAATGCAGAATATGTAGACAGTATCAGCCACATTGTCACAGACTGCTGAGAATCGGAGAAGACCAAGAATATTCACAGCATTTAATTTTCAGTGAAACAGCAAACAGAAAACCACAGCTTAATAAGATTTGCAGTATCTTGTTAAGAACATGATGTCTTCATTAGACACTACAGTATTAAATGGGTGTGGCAGTAAGTGAATAACCAAAGATATAAAAAAACCAGAGAAATAACTCCCACACCAATATCAAAAATCATCCTACAGCCATGCATCTGTTTATATATGATGCAGTGAAGTCAAAATTGAAATCCCGTGGAACCACACCCATTTATACCAACCCACTACAAAATTGAAAATATGGTAAAGAAAAACAGGATATGGTAGTCAATGGGAATTCAATGAACACTGAAAAAACAAGAAAAAGACGGTGGACATTACATTTATGAACATTTATGAAATCATTAAAATGCCTAGTAAAATACAGATGGAACTCATTGATTAAGTGTATTAACAAAGAAGGAAATTATTTTGAAAAATGTGTAAAATTCTTTTTCATCATTAGGCTATGTTCTTATTGATTGACCTATATATATGACTAGCAGTAGAGCCCAGCGTTGCCCGGGGATATAACAGTAAGAGATAGATCAAGTATCCACCATCATAAAGACTGAAAAATAAAATTGACAAAGATTATTGTTTAAGGTTGATGGACACGCATGTCTTAATTAGTTTTTAGTTTTTTTTTTTTTTTTACGAATTGGTCAAACCCAAACTCAAACAAAAACATTGTTTTCAATCGTTATAAGTCTCCTGATTGAATAGAATAATTTTATAAACAATTGTCTTGTAAATGGAATTTTTAAAGCATTCTGAATGTAAAAATAAAGAAAAAAGTGTGCAAGACAATAAGAAACACTACCTGCCAAAAAAAAAAAGTGAAGTTTTGTTGAAATCGGTTGAAAAATGTAGGTAGGCTTTCTGTAATCTTTTAGTTTTACAATTTATGATTTTTACTTATTGAATACAGTAAAAAAAATTGCATATTTTGCTTGTGGTGATTCATAATTAGAATTCTGATTTGAATATATTTTCCACTCGTTGTTTCTAATACAAAAATATTAACTTTATTTGGGTTTATTAATTATGATCTAACAAATCTTATTCATTTAGTAGCCTTTCTGTAATAATAATCTTTTTACAATTTATGATTTTTACTTATTGAATAGAGTAAAAAATTGGACACCATGTGTATTTAAAGTAGTTTCCCGTTCCTGTTATTATTTTTAGTTAGGACTTGTGTATGTTTAGATTTCATTATCTTTCCCTAAAGATAAAGAATTTATTCCGATGTTTGTATTCGTACAATCAGTAGAGATCGTTAGATTATTGTTTAAGGTTGACGGACACGCATGTCTTAATTAGTTTTTATTTTTTATGAATTGGTCAAACCCAAACTCAAACAAAAACATTGTTTTCAGTCGTTATGAGTCTCCCAATTGAATAGAATTTTATTATAAATAATTGTCTTGTAAATGGAATTTTTAAAGCATTCTGAATGTTAAAAATAAAGAAAAATATGTGCAAGAGAATAAGAAACACTACCTGCCAAAAAAAAAAAAAAAAGTGAAGTTTTGTTTTATTGGCTGAAAAATATAGGAAATCCGATGTGAGTTGTCCCCCTTCCATTTTCACGATGTCTCTTAATCGTGTTTTCAAATTGATTTTGTGCAAAAACAATTATATTTTTCCCATTTTTGGCGCTGTTAGAACCACCACAAGGTAATTTTATGTAGTCCTGTGAAGTTTTGTTGAAATCGGTTGAAAAATGTAGGAAATCCGATCCAATATATAAACGTTACAGACACACACACACACACACACACACAATCTGCGTTTTATAATAAGTAAGATTCATGGAGTCGTGGGAGTCATGGGATAATGGATTGCAGCTCGGACCGGAAAATTTGAAAGCCAAGTTCAAATTCTAGTTGAATTCATTACATTCACTTAAAATTCAAATACCCTTGAGAAATGTATGAATCCAACTCTCCTCCCCCCATCTATGGATAAATAGCAGAACAAACTGGATTCTATAGCCTCGTGTGGCAACCAGTCTAGCAGTAGGAAAAACTTTTATAATTCAAAACCTCCAACTATGGATAAATAGTAGGGCAGTCTTGCCTCTGTAGCCTTGGTTGACAACCAGGCTAGGTGAAGGACAACTCTGAATTCAAATCTGGTGCTGAAGTTCCTAAGACCGATTAATTTCATATTTTGTTCTGGCAACATCTGCAACGAGACTGGTGCCAAGCTGTATTGGCTTCTGCCTTTCCCTTGAACAACATCAGTGGCATGGATAGAGGAGATATGCTTCAAGCACAGATCCATGATCTCTTGAGATCAACAAATGCCAATAAATAAAATCTGTGTTGTTTACTACAGAATTAAGTGCATTAACAAGGACTTAAAAAATATGAACTTTTAAAAGAATTTATAATAATGTTACATTATTATAATGTTGTCTCCAATTGCAACGGCAAAAACTTTAATGTTAGCATCATGACATGCTTCTGCAGCCTGTAGGGTTGCTTCTTTGTTCTGAGAGTTACCATCTGTTAAAAGAATAGCCACACGTTTCACATTGGGTCTTGAACCATAATATAGAATTTATAATAATGTTACATTAGATATAGAATTTATAATAATGTTACATTAGATTTGCCATGTTTAATGGATGTCAGTTATCAGTTATCTCCTGTTAATTTCCCTTTGAAAGTTCTCCACTGCCTTAACTGCTATTGAACTCACACTCTTTGGGTCCTGTCACTGGATCTAACTAACACCTTTATCCACTGTGCCATGTGTCCGGTTAAGGCAGTGGAGAACTTTCAGAGGGAAATTAACCAGAGATAATTGATAACTGACATCCATTAAACATGGCACGTTGAACTAGAACAGTCTATCCCAGTGAGCGAAATAAAGGGTTCAGTTCGACATTCCAACCACCTGAAGAAGGCCAGAGCATACAATAGCTGAAACATTGTAATAAATATGGCAACAAAGATGAGGACAATAGTTCAAATAATGTAAATAATGTACATAATACCTCATCTCAGAAATATCGACAGATACTGAACGAAGATTATGCTGACAAATAAATATTTGTTGTATAGAATAAATGGTTTATTTATCGTAAGGCTATGGATTTATTGATATACCTGTATATATATTAGGGAAGAGATAAAACAGTTTTTATAACTGTTTCTTCAAATTATCATAGTTTACTCTCAATTCGAAAGACACACTGTAATGATTGCAAAAATAGAAAAAGAAAAAAACAAAAGTTATTTACTGCAATTACTGAAATTAAAGAAATCTATCAAATTAATAGAAATAAATTCTTGTCATAATTAATAGTGTAACATCATTTATCAGCTCATAGAGGAAATATAAATTTAGTAATTTTTGTTGATATTTCCCTAAAATATACATTAAGAAAACATCCCAAAATTTAAAGAAAAGTATATTTGAACATAGTAGTAGTAGTAGTGGTTGGCCACTCATATCCGATTATGTCTGTCTACTAGAGTAGCCAGCCAATCCCTGTTGCAGATGCCTGCTCAGCCACATTTGTGCTTGTTCAACATCCACAGAGCCCACCCATGGTTTATACTGCAATTATGCTGAGTGAACCAAAGTTACTGTTTCTGGGAAAGAGCACATTATCAGGTGTGTTCAACAGCCTGAACAAGGCCATTACACTCAAACCCTCAGTCACAATGACTTGTGACTTCATGCTAGCACAATCATTGACAGATCTTAAATAATTCTGTCTACCCAATTTCACTCACAAAGCTTGGGTCAATCTGTGGTATGGTTTTTCAGGCACTTTCCAATGGTGCCACATGCTGGAATCACCTCCCCAGGCTGTTAACATCAAGAAGTCATCTTCCTGACAAATTGACCATGATAAGATTAAAATCTGGGTCTCATGGTCAGAAAGTGGACATTCTAACCACTCGGCCATATGTCTAATAAAAGGGACTTAAACAACACACTCTGCACTGAGTTGAAATTAGTTAAAAACTAATTTCTATAATAATACAATTAAAGAAAAAAACCCAATCATTCAGTTACTTAAAGTGAATCCCTGTTGGGAGATGTCTGCTCAGGCACATTTGTGTTTGCCCAACACTTGTAGAGCCCACCTGAGGTTTATACTTAGTTACTGCTTCTGGGAGAGAGCACATTATCTGGTGTGATTAACAGTTTGAACAAGACCAGTACACTCTAACCGTTGGTTACAATGACTTGTGACTTCATGCTACAATGGCCATTGACAGATCCAAAATTCTTTTTCTAATGACAACAGTTAAAAATTTCCAATAAAAAATTGAAAAGTTCTATGTATAACATCTTTAGAATTTGATAATTTTTTCATGTACTTGATGTTTATGTCAAGACATGGACACAGATTTGCAGTTATTATTTGGAATAGAAGAGAAAAATGGTGATTACCTTCTTTGCATGTCCGGTGTATTAAACTGTTACTAATTTTATCTAAAGCATCAAAATCGGGTATTTGAAAGTAGAACCTGGCCTTAGGATCACTGGCAATTGCTTTTACCTCTGTATAGTCAATGTTGTCTCCAATTGCAACGGCAAAAACTTTAATGTTAGCATCATGACATGCATCTGCAGCCTGTAGGGTTGCTTCTTTGTTCTGAGAGTTACCATCTGTTAAAAGAATAGCCACACGTTTCACATTGGGTCTTGAACCATGTTCTTCCTTGAACATAGTGGATAATAATTTTCTAAGAGCGTCTCCCGTGTTGGTCCATGGAGCATTCTCTCGGGAAATGGCTCTAATTCTCTTTTTAAGACTTGCTTTGTCTATACTGTTTCCCATAGTCACTTTTGCATGAGCAAATTCACTAAATGTTTCAACACCAACTCGAACCTACAATGAATGATGAAATTATATTAACAAGTATGTAAAAATTTCAGATAGAGTACATCTGTAAAAGGGCAATATGAATAAAGTCAGAAGGAAAACTTAACTGACGCGTTTCATCTTCCATTATCAAGGATGATTTTATTTATACTTTTAACTGAATGTATGGATTGTTTTATGTATGTATTTAGAATTATAGGAATGTTTTATTTTCCAAACATGGTCATTACATTGTGGCCATGTTTGTAGTTGATATTATTGAGTGATGGCTTTTTTTTTTTTATTAATAATGCTTCCATTATTTTTAGCCTTTTTTTTTAGATGTGGATGAGGCTATTATATTTATATTATCAATGAGTATGTTGTGGATAGAGTTTAGCAACCTCCCCACTGCTTTTGTTTTTTACTTCTTAGGAAAGTTGAACATCAGACTTCGATACATCTTATGAAAGCAACCTTATGTAGCAACCTGTATCTGCCCATAAGGAAATTGTATAGGTTTTATATGCAGACAACTTCATGTCATTACCTATATTAAAAAAATTTTTTTCCAGTGAATTTGAATTTAGTTTAGGTCACATTTGATTGGTTAATCATGGCAAAGCCAACAAACCTATTTTTTTTTAAGTATTCTGCTTTTGAAATTAAATTAATCTTTCACTCACCAGTAGTTTAACATTGTCTGGGGAGACACATTTATGGTGTTGAAACATAATTGCCATTATGTAGAGAATTTTAACATTTTAATATCCTAATATATACATATATATATATATATATATATATATATATATACACATACATACAAGGTGGCAATAAAATCACTATACAGTTATTTACAATAACAATTAAGACAAAGCAATTAATCAACAATCCAGAAATTTATTGTTAAAATGGTTCTGGTTAATAACAATGAAATGCTATGGTAAATAAAAGTAAATTAATTTACAGATACTGTTCGAACTGCAAGCCACCTGCTTCAATGCTTTGCTTTTTTATTATAAGTAACTGTATAGCAACTTTAATGCCACCCAGTACATATGTAATAGTTACATACTGTGTGGACATAGAAATCAAGCATGTATTGTGGTTACTAGTTTCATATCTTAAGTGACCATCAGACCATGCTTAAACCTACATACATTCTATTCCCAATATCAAAAAAGCTTTTATATATAAAAGTAGACATTGAAGTCACTACCCAGCAGTGGCAGTCTGTCTTAGGCTTAAATGCAATCATCAGGCCATGTTTGTTGGGTTTTTGCTTGACTATTTATAGATACTGGTCAGTGATGCATTTTGGGTAGGCCTGTTGTATTATTCTAACAGTTATTTGGGTGGGCGGTAATGGTTATGTTTCAAATTATTTTAGATCTATTGAGTAGAAATAATTGTGGATCAGGATGCAGGTTTGTGGCTATTTTATGGTGTTGTATGTTGACATTTTTTTATTTATTATTGATTATTTTATTGTTGGTTGTTATTATTAGATATTATGCACTTTAAGCCATAAATATAGCATACCATAAAACTATATCATATATATATATATATATATATATATATATATATACACATTCATATATATATATATATATATATATATATATATATATATATATATATATACATATATATATATATATATATATATATATACACATACACACATAATTAGTTAGCCTACCCTGACGATCCACTTAGGTGAAACATTGGTAGGTTTGCCTGGCTCTCTAGGTTTAACTAGGTCTGCTCTACTTACTGTATTGAGCAATTTATTTAGTTGTTTTGTGTACTTGTATTGGTTTTTTTTTGGCTTTGAACTTGCATGCTGGACGATTATTTTCATCTAACGTACTTGTTCTTGGTTCTTTCTTTTTTTTATACCTTTTTTTCCCATTTGGTATTGGTTTGATTAATTGCAAATCAAGACACCAAAGGTTTTCCGAATGAGTGTGGTTTCTTATACCTATAAGATTACTACTAATACTAATATATATATATATATATATATATATATATATAATTTAAATGATCTGCAGTCTTTTAAAAGGGCTGTGGTGAAATAATTTATTACATGGAACCTTAAAGTGGTCTGTTTTTATTTAAATTATTTGCTCTGGATTTACATTGAGCTCTCTGGATTTTATTTTCCTTAGGTTTACCCATACGGATTAGCTAGTTTTTCATAAACTATATATATCTATATATATAGTAAGGTAATGAAGGGTTTGGTAATCTGTATGGATAATTTAACTCCAAAAAGCTCAATGTAACACCAGAACAAATATAAATCGAGATGTGACCTGATGAGCCAGGAAAAATATATTTTCTTTTGAAATAAATTATAGTCATGTAACCTTGAGGTTGTCGCTTTTTTAATTCATTGGTGTCTATGTGTATAGTAATTTGCATGCACATTTCATTGTGTATGTGTGTATTTTGATTCTTTTTTTTTTTTGTAAAGGGCTGTGGAGATATTTCCTGTCTCATCACTTTTTTGCGTGTGTGTATATCTAAATATGTCTGCGTGCTCATGTATTATAATCTGATTGTGTATGTATTGTCTTTCACAAGATGTCATCATCTTCTGCCTACACTTAGAATTCAAATGTATCAATGTTGTCATGAAGTTAAGAGCAGCAGTCGATCTTAACGTTTATTCCAACGTAATTTCAATAAAAACAAAATAAATAGAATAACATATGTATTTTTCTTTTTTCCTCAGTAATTTTATAATTTTAAACTTAATAAAGATTAAATTTAGATTTTAAAATGGATAATTTTTAATCTTAATTTCAAATTTTATTATATAATTTAATACTTATTAGTTAGAATAAATTCTATTTTAGTATAACCCAACTTTAAAGCATTTAATAGTTATTATAACCTTACTCCGTTGTCAAGTTTTTTGAATTCTCGTATACTTGTATTTTGATTGATCATTCCAGCTTATGTAACAGCATTTCCCCTTGCGAGGCTGGGTTAATTAATTTGAACCTTTTAGAAGCCTTTATTCTATATTCAACATCATTACTTGATAAAACACCCAAGGTGTTGAAACAAAATGGCTATTTTTGTAGTGATTTTATAACATATTTATGTTATAATTTTAAATAAATAATTATATATATATATATATATAAGAAAAAGTTTGTCACTTTGCTGATTGATGTTATCTTCAGCATCTTGACTCATAGATGAACCCATCTGTCCACTCTTCCGGGGGATAACCAATTGACTGCTTATATTTCTTGATTTTCTTTTTTATGCACTTATCATTGGTGCATATATTTTTTCATATTGTTTGTGTATGTTTGCATGTTCATATGCATGTGCCTGTCTGTGTGGATATGTGTATGTGTAGTATATCATGATTATGTGTGGATATGTATATGTGTAGTATGTCAGGATTATGTGTGGATATGTATATGTGTAGTATGTCATGATTATGTGTGGATATGTGTATGTGTAGTATGTCATGATTATGTGTGGATATGTATATGTGTAGTATGTCATGATTATGTGTGGATATGTGTATGTGTAGTATGTCATGATTATGTGTGGATATGTATATGTGTAGTATGTCATGATTATGTGTGGATATGTGTATGTGTAGTATGTCATGATTATGTGTTCTTTTCTTTGTTGTTTTTTTTTCCTCTCCACTTTACACTTACTTTGTAGCTTATATATTAACTGGTTTGATAAGCTGTCAGACTGACCCACTTTCTAAAATCTGACCAAATCAGGAAATATCAGAACTAAAAGAAAAAAAAAATGCTTACCTGATTTACTCCCATTCCAACATTCATCAGATCAATAAAGTTATTGACAAAATTTAATTGCTTCTGGAAGAGTTTATCCCAGATAGTGTTTGAATCATCCAGAATAAACACAAGATCTATTGGATGTTCTGGGCATTCTGGTTTTTCTGAAAAAGAGTTGATAAATGGAATATATTAGCTTGTTGTTATCAGGAAGAGTTTTAATTATTAATTTTTGTTTTTCTAATTTTTATATGGCCTCTTTAGAAAATAAGGTGCTTAACACAACAAACAAATCCACTTATATATGCCAGGAACATTGAAGTACACTGATGACATTTTCCGTCTCTTAAAAATACTTTGAAAGTAAATTCATCATTAGACTTACCTTTGAACTTAGAATTAATAAAAGAATCTCATTCTTTGATCTTCTAATTAACTATATTGCAATAAGGAATTTTCTGTAAGAATAATTTTATTGTTTCATGGAAGGCATTATTATAAAGTGCTTGTTTAATATTTCATAATTCTTTATAAAAAAATGTTTCAGAAGAAGTGATAATTTTCGTACAATTGATTAGGTCTTTATTACTGTTATTTTATATCCTTGTGTACATTCACGTAGATAATTGAGTGGGCAAAGAGTTAATATTAACTGATATTTTTGTATATTAAGGTCATATTATTTTGATTAACTGGCGACTGCTCTTGAAATGGACCTCTAACCAGTGGGTAACCAGGACAAAGGATGGCTTATAAAAAACAAAACTGCTTTCATTTAATCACCATCAAGAACTTTTCTTGCCTGCCATCAGCATGGTTGATACTAACCTCTACAAAAGCAAAACTTAGCAACTTATTGATAATTTTTCTCATCAGAATCCCTCTTCCACATTTATAAATCTACCCTTCATCCATACATTGAATATTACTGTCATATCTGGTCTGATGCTCCAAAGACAACAAAACACAAAGAATGGTCTGCAATGTTATAGCATTTGTCTGTGCATTGAATACTGCTGCTATATCTGGTCTGCTGCTTCTACTACATATCTCGAGATTCTTGACAAAATTCAAAGAAGCTTCTGTAATGTATTCAATCCTAAACTGGCATCTCAACATCAGTCACTTTCTCATCACTATAATGTGGCTTAACTGTTTTTCTTCATTAGCTTTACTTATGACTAAGTAATAAAAGAATCTTATTCTTTGACATCCTAATTAACTATAATTTTTTTTTATCATCATTTCACCCTAAACAAGGAGATAATGCCACTAGGATGCATCTTTGTTTTCCTCTTTAGTTTATAGTCATCTTTGTAATCATCTTTGTTTTCCTTTTTAGTTTTACCTTTGAATTTAAAATTAATAAAAGAATCTTTTTCTTTGACATCCTAATTAATTATAATTGCAATACATGCAAAAAAATTCTGATTCCAACCATATTAAACAAAACAGTATTTACTGGAACTATTTCAATCAGATACACTCCACCTACATGAAAAATTTAATTCACAGATATGCAAAATCTATTGGAAGGAGCAGCTGCTCAAAAGCCATTATCGGCTATAAAAAGTTCAAAACATAGTAACTGATTATTATCAAAAACAATTCTCTGAAAAAGAATGTTATATATCAATTTAAGTATCTATTAGGAGAATGTGTCTCTAATCATATTCAAAAAGTGGGTATGTACATTGGGCTTACCGCAACATCTCTTTCTCGCCAACTCACTTGCCATCTTTCTCAACAGTGCAATTTACCATCACATCACACATAATCATAATGCACTGACAATCTACATCTGATCTTAGTAGATAATACAACAATTCTGTATCACTTAGATAATAAAATATGACAAATAATGAGAGAAATGTATATTAAGAGAAAATTGCCATTCATAAACAATTTTTGATTCAACAATGGTGTTCATGTTCTCCAGTGTTTGTAATCTAAATTGCACATTCGCTACATGAAATGGTATCAGACTGCATTACATAATTGATTTGTCATATCCTGTCGGCATTTCCACATTTTTTTAAAACAGTGAGTATCAGATTTTTCTAGCCCTCCTTTCTTATTACGTGTCTCAGAAATTTCAATTGACTCTTCCTGATATTAAGTATAAATTCCATTTTTGTTTCCATTGTCTTCAAAACATTGTCGTTTCTCACGTTTGGCCCATGGTATCCTTAGCATCCTTCTGCAGAATGACATTTCTGTTGCTTCAAGTCACTTCTTCATCTTTGAGGAGACTGTCCAGCATTTGTTGCCATACAGGAGGACAAATATCACATCACAGTTCAGTACTCTTTTTTTTTTATTTCTAATGAAATTTTCCTGTCTCTTAAAATGTAACCAATACTAGGTATTTTATTAAGCTTACTGTGCCACATAGGATTCTAAATAAACATTTCCTAAATCGGCCTGGGCCTTGCAGAATTTTAGCAAAACATTAATCACATCATCATGACTTTCTCAGGTTTGTGGATCTAGGCAGGGTAACTCAGTTATACCAGATTTTATTGAATCTTACTTGGTTTATTTCAGGTTCAAACCCACCCAATGCCTTCCGCATATATTTTATAAGTTCAAATTAATATTTTTTTCCTAATCACTTTCACATCAGGTTCCAACCCTATTAATCACTCTTTCATATTTTTCTCCATCTAATATCTTTACACTTTTGCTCAGGATTATCAAATCTTACAATACCTCATCATTAAACAATATTTCATGTACTAAAATGACTCACTCAAAACCATTGTCCTGTTACACCTATAACGATACACTTAGAGTAAAAAATCAAATTTTTAGCCACTTCATGTGAATGTATATTTTGTTCCTTGTAGAATAAAATTCACTTTTTGATGAAACTGAATCATCAGCAAAACATATATATATTTTATAAACATAAAATTTTTTCCAAATTGTCTTCTATATATAATTTTGTTTTTAATCATTTCACCCAAGCAAGGTTATAAAGCCACTAAAATGGAAGAGATTACTGAATGTGAAAGAATCTAAGATTAATAAAACGTTATTAAGGAGATGGGACAATAAAAAAATCATGAATTAAGAACACAGAAGATAACGATTGACATTTCATTTAACTATTTGAAGATCAAATTTGACTGGAAAGTAAGAAACCAGAAGAGATTTGTACAAGTGAGAAGTGCGAGAAAAGAAAGTGTTTGCATAAAACTTACAGTTTACATCTCGCCATTTTAATTATAAATGACAAGACCCAAAAAATTACTGAAAAGTTCAGTATATATACAGGGTGTCTCTAAAATCTGGACACATGGGAAATCTCATTAACTATATTTTTTTACCTCCACAGATTAAACATGGTTTTGTCAAAAGAAGAAATAATTAACTTCTTTTTCCAGGATATGCTAAAGGAGAAGGTGTACTCAATGAAAATCACAGATGCAACATACTTGACTGAATGCATAAAGAAGGAAATTGATGGCAATTTGGAGTTATTGAATTGAGTTCATGTGAATCATGCAAAGCTCATCAACCGTTGCATCATAAATGATGGAAATCATATTGAAGATGTTATTTGTTAATATTCCAATTCAATAAAGTTGTTGAAAATTTCTTGAAAATATACATTTTTGTCTATGTGTTCAGACTTTAGGGACACCCTGTATTTCATATTTTGTACATTATGATACAATATCACTTTTCATGTATTTGTTATTCATATCAAGATATGAACATATTAATTGTATTGCAGTTATTCTTTTGAATACCGAAAAAATATCCACATAAATGAAGCTTACCATCTTTGCATGATCGCCCGATTAAATTGTCAAGAATTTCATTTAAAGTGTCAAAATTTTTTGTTTTAAAGTAATACTTGGCCTTGGGATTACTAGCAATTGCTTTCACTTCTCTATGGTCAATATAGTCTCCAATTGCAATGGCAAAAACTTTAATGTTAGCATCATGACATGCATCTGCAGCATGTAGTGTTGCTTCTTTGTCTTGAGAGTTACCATCTGTTAAAAGAATAGCCACATGTTTCACATTGGGTCTTGAACCATGTTCTTCCTTGAACATAGTGGATAATAATGTTCTAAGAGCGTCTCCCGTGTTGGTCCATGGAGCATTATCACGAGAAAGGGTTTCAACTTTCTTCTCAAGATTTGTCTTGTTTGTACTATTCCTCATTGTCAGTTTGACATGAGCAAAGTCACTAAATGATTCAACACCGACTCGAACCTACAATGAAGAATAAAATTACATTATCACTTATACAACAACTATATTAATGGCTAACAATAACTAGTTGGACTAGTGGAAATTACAGTACAATTATAAAATTACTTAAAAATGATTTTTTGATGAGACAGTTAAACTAGTGGATAATAATAAAATCTTACTTGTTGCTACACCAAGCTGAGGGATGATACTAACAGATTATAGGTACAAATTAAAAAATGAAAAAGATATATAATCTTGATTTTCTAGATGGTTCAATTGAAAATGCAAATTATGCAGTCCACTTAAAGCTAAATGCAATTCCATGTCTTTTGAGCGTGCTGCAGTAGGACTTGCAGTAAGTGTCTTAAACATACTTTTGTGAAGTCAAGCTATGACTTGATCATAATTTCTAGTGATAAGGAGCATCATCAACCACATCTATGATATTGTTTGGCTTAAATAAAATACATGAAGGATACTGATTCTTTACTATTCTTAACTTTCTAAGCACCTACCGAGAATTAGAATTATTACAGTTACAGAAAGGGTCAATCACTAATAAGTGATCAACAGTGAGTCACTTTATTTTCATCTTTTCATGTTAGAGTTTAATTAATTTTGTTGCACAATATTAGCAGAAAAATACAGAAGTTAAATAGATTTGGAAGAAAATAATAAAATGAAATGAGGTAAAAACTCAGTTTAGGAATAAAATAAACAGTACATGAACTACTGGAGAATTGAAGATGAAATTAACCCAGCGTTTACTAATATAAGTCAGCAAGATCCGTTGCTGCTGGCATTTCTCTGCATTCCAACCTGGTTAACAAGTGGATCTGCATTTATGACATGTGTTATGCACTTGAAACAGCTTAAATTTGTAAAAAGATGCCATGAATGAAGAACACAGTATAACTAAAAAAAATGGTTGCAAAAAGTTATTTGTTATTTGGGGCTTTCCTGATGAAAATGAAACGCGACCTAAATATACTATTACAGTACTTTCCAAAAATATTGGAACGGCAAGGTCAATTCATTTATTTTGTTGTTCACTGAAGACATTTAGTTTTAAAATCAAAATATGAATATGAGACAAGAGTTCAGAATTTCAGCTTTTTATTATCTGGTATTTACATTTAGATGTGTTAAACAACTTAGGACATATCACCTTTTGTATTAGATCACTCCATTTTTAGGTAAGCAAAAGTAAAGGAACAGATAATCTTAAAGTAAATAATATTTAATATTTGGGTAACATATACCCACTGACATCACCAAAATGTTGCAGTCTTCATTTGATGCTTTTCCAGATTTTTAATGCAGCCTTTTTCAGTTCTTGTTGTTTTGGGGGATTTCTTCGTCTAGTCTCCTATTCAGAAAGTGAAATGCAGGCTCTGTTGGGTTAAAGTCTAGTAATTGACTTGATCAATCTAAAACTGTCCACTTTTTCTCCTGATGAAGTCCTTTGTTGTGTTTGCAGTATGTTTTCGATGATTGTCCTGCTGCATGATAAACTTTCTCCCTATTAGTTTGAATGCATTTCTCTGTAAATTGGCAGACAACATGTTTCTGCAGACATCTGAATTCATTCTGCTGCTACTATCATGAGTTAATCATCTATAAATATGAATGAGCCTGTTTCAGAAGCAGCCATGCAAGCCCAACCCAAAACACTGCCTCCATCATGCTTCACAGATGAGATTGTATGCTTTGGATCATAAGTAAATCCATTCTTTCTATGCACTTTGGCCTTTCCATCACTTTGGTAGAGATTATTCTTGGTCTTATCAGTCCATAAAATTTTCTTTCAGAACTTCTGTCACTCATCTTTGTACTTCTTTGCAAATTCCAATTTGGCCTTCTGATTCTTACAGTTGATGAATGGTTTGTATCTTGTGGTATGGCTTCTATATATAGTCTTTGAATGGTGGATTATAAAACAGTCACCCCTGTACTGTGGAGGTTGTTGATGATGTCATTGATTTGTTTTGGGGTTTTTCATCATAGCTCTCACAGTGTTTCTGCCATAAACTACTGCTGTTTTCCTTGGTCAGTTCTATGTCTGTTACTCAGTACAACAGTAGATTCTTTCTTTTCAGGATATTCCAAATATTTGTCCAATGACTTAGATCCATTTTCCTTCTTTTCTTAGCTTCAAAATAACTTCCTTTTCTCCCATAGACAGCTCTCTTATCTTAATATTGGTTTTTCCTTTTTAACAAGATATTCAGTCTTTACAGATGAAACCCAAGGCCAAAACCAAGAGTGATCATTCAGAGCTATTTAATGTTTAAATAATCAATCTAAAAAGCAATACCTGGCCAACAAGAAACACCTGCCAGTCATGTGTTCCAATAGTTTTGCTCACTTGAAAAATGGGTGGATTCAAACAAAAGGTGGTATGTCCTAAGTTGTCTAAATGTAAATACCAGGTAATAAAAGCTGAAAATCTGAACTCTTGATTTTAAATCCAAATGTATTCAGTAACAATAAAAACAAAGGAATTAGCCTTGCTATTCCAGTATTTTTAGAGGAGACTGTATATATATATATATATATATATATATATATATATATATATATATATATATATATATATTTTATCATGTTAGAATTGACCTTGAGTCAAAAAAAGGAACAAAATTTTGGAAATAATGACTTGGCCACCTCAATCTCTTGACCTCTTTCCCATTGAATTAGTATTGGGTGAATTGGATAGGAGAGTTTACTTTTTTTTAAACTGTTGGAAAGAATGCCAAGAAATTGTAAAGCAGTAATTAAGGCAGATTCTTTTTTAATCTTATCAAGGAACTTCAGGTAAATAACAGGGGCACCAGACCATATATGGTAGCAATATTCTAAGCATGGACAAATGGTAGACTTATTGATAAGCAAGATAGATTCCAGAGAGAAAAATTGGCTCACCTGGCACAGTAAATTGACTTTCTTTTTAACCAAGCAATGGATTCAATATAGTCTTTCGACTTTGTCAGCTGAGAATGGTAGCCTGAGAAGGCACAACGAGTCACTCTCCTGGAGATTAGCATGAGTCATGCTGATGGAAAGCAGAGTGGGGTCTCTCAGATGATTAATGGAGAGAAGTTTAATTTTGAAGATGTTAAAATTAACAAGCCATCTTTTGCCCCAGTTAATGACTGTTTTGAGGTCATTTTGGACATTAGCTGCCATTTTGACCTTGTCAGACTGATCTGCTTTACTAACAAAGAAGGAGTAAATGGTAGTTTCATCAGTGTAGATACCAAGCTGAGAGCTGATGTCATCAGGAAGGTTAATGAAGATTAAAAACAGTGTAGGACTAAGGAGGGAGCCCTGTGGGAGATCCACATTAGTATGATGAGTGGCCACAGAAATCTTATCAAATGGACAAATATTAGAATAAGTTTTGGAATCTTTTCTTGGACAGACCTTCATCATTGAATCTAAGAAGAAAGTGTAAAAAAATATACTTACTTGAGTCTCTCCCATACCAATGTCCATTTGATCAATAAAATTATTGACAAACTTTAATTGCTTCCTGAAATCTGATATATGGATACTGTTTGAATCGTCTAAGACAAACACAATATCCATTGGAATTCCCCAGCATTTTGAATATGATTTTACTGAAAAGAGTTGAAAATTGAAATAATTTAACTTCATTTAATGTTGCCAGGAGGAGGAGGAGGATTAATAATAATAATAATAATAATTAGAGGAAGGGTATGATGCCACTGAAAGTGAGGCAAATAACATCTATGCTAAATTAGGGATTTACCAGCTGCACAAAAATTCTGCCAACAAGACTGAACTACTCTCAGTATATCCAAGGTGGTGATGACATGGCATTGTTGGGTAGAGGGTTTTCTAGACTGGTCAATGATCAGGGTGATGTGTTCCCTTGTTGTATCTACAGCTATGTGTCTTGTAATCAAAGAGAACCTTAAAATTGGAAAAGTAGGCCAAGAGAAAAGACACCAGTGACTGAGGAGCATTAAATTGTAAGTCAGAGGCTTTGAAAACCCCTAGAATCATTTGCAACCAGAATGCATCTATCAAAGATAGAACAAAACCAATATAGCAGAATCTGTTGACGGTATCAGCCACACTGTCACAGATCAAGCATATTCACAGACCCTGGAAGATTTTAAGGAGTTAGCAAATGAAGACAATTAAAAAGTGGTATGGATGTCGGCCTAGACAAAAAAGAGCTTTAAGATTATTGAGCAGTAAATTTTGAAGCACACTTCTGTGACACAGAGGCCACCAAGTTGTTTGGATTAATAGCATTACAGCCAATTGGTTTTAATTAAACTCAGTTGTAAACAAATGCAATTGCATGTCCTGCTTGATAATGTTCCTCTGCCTGAAAAAAGTTAATAAGGATGTAGCCATAAAAATTAAGTACAAATCATGTGCTGGCCATCTTCATGAATTACAATCTAACACCAACACACTTTTAAATATTCCAGCATTCACTTCTCAAAATCTATCCACTTTCTACAAGTGTAGCTTATATGAAAAGATTCTGAATTCTTTACATGACAGTTTAAATGAAATGCAAGCAAAATTGATGTGCAGAGTTTGATGCTGAAGAAAATCATTTCTATTAAATATTGTTTTGACTTGTTTATTCCTGCAAACAATTTTTGGAATATAACTGCATAGCACACTGATGCCAGTGCAGCTTCAGTAGCAATAAGGTTTTTACAAAGTGGAGTTTTGAGTTCCATACCTAACTTTGAATTCAAACTAGACTAATTCTTCTTGCAACATTACTTTGGGAACAGTGGTTATTTCAAAAGTAAAAGCAATCCTGGAACAAGTCAAATCTCACAGATGGGAACATTCAACAGCAAGGTAATAATCATTTTTTTAAAATTTTATACTTTAAATCAGTGTTTTTCAACCAGGGTTCATATGGACCCTGCAGGTACATGTAACATTACTGGTGTCCACAGTAATATTTTAGTGGTCCATAAAGCAATTTCACTTTGGAATGTTGTAACATCAAAGAATTGGAATTTCTACAGTAATGCATCCCATACTAAAATACTAAAGGTAGAAAAACAACTCCCTTTTATTCTACTCGATGTTTTGATTGTAAAAGTTGAATAAAAACTAAGGATATATAAAGAAAACATTATATAAATAATGAAAATTATATAAATTAATTCAATATATTAATAATAAATAATAATATTCATTTTAAATATTAATAAAATAAACTATTAATATAAATTATTTAATAAAAAATATTAAAAAAAATAAAATATTAATAATAAAATTAATTTAATATATAAATTATATAAGGGTTATATATAAAGGAAGAATTAACTTGTTGAATCAGGTTTTAGTCATGTGTCTCACTTACTATCAAAAGCCTGTAATAGACTCGACATTGTGAAAAGGGGTGGTCTTTGATTATCATTGACATTGATAGAACCGAATATAAAAAAAAATGCAGGATCAACCACAGGGATCTTGTTGAATAAATCTTCACTTTTTTTAATTTATTAATTATTCACATATTTTAAAAGGGTTCATTATGAGTTATTTTACTAGTGTACATCAATCTTCCATAGAATTTAGTTGGTTAAATACAAATTTATTTTCATTTAAGTAGTTTCACTTCAAAATAAAGCATATACATTTACTATTTCTATAATACAATTCCTAACCATATGTATTAGTAAAAAATAAAATAAGCTTTTTTTTTCATTGAATGGTTATAGTGGTCCACCAAAAAGAATTAAGAGTAAAAGTGGTCCATATGTAAAAAAAAAAGTTTTAAATGAATGAGTTGACAATTCTAAATTAAACATGCAATGCCAACCTAAATAAAAGCAATCAATCTAAAATGTTCTACAAAATTACTTACCTATATCTCCATGTGTTTTTGTAAGAAGTACCTGTAAATAATGAAAAATTAAATTGGCTATAAATATCCACATCTATAAAAACTATGTGAGTGTGTATATATATATATATATATATATATATATAACATTTATATATTTATAAAACATTTATATAGATACATACATACATACATACATATACATACATATATATATATATATGTTTTTCATTATTTCATCCCATGCAAAGCAATAAAGTCACTAAGATGCAGGGTGTTACTGAGTGTGAGAGAATACGGACAAAAGAAAAACATTATTAAGGAGAGAGATAAATAAAAGAACAGGAATTAAGAAGATAAAAGATAATAATTGACATTGCATTTAAATTTTTGTTGATCAAAGTTGGTGGGAAAGCAAAACGCCAGAAGAGAGTTCCACAAGCAAGAAGTGCAAGAAAAGAAACTGTTTGCATAGAACTTATGGTTATAGCCATTTCAACTGTAAAATGAAACCTAGCTGCCAATCTAGTACTGCACTTAAATTTGTAAAGTCAAGGTAACAAAGAGAAAAGCTCATCAGAACAATTACCATGAAAGTATTTATAGAAAAGACACAGGCAAACTATGTTATAGCATCAGGAAAATGACTGAAAACAAGATACCAGGTGAAGACCAATAACATTGCAGATTCTTTCGATCTTATGAAGTATCTCTAAATAGATAGCATAAGCACCAAACCAGATATGGCTTCAATATTTAATCCAAGAATAAATGGTAGACTTATAAATTTGTAAGATAGATTCCGGCAATAAAAATGGTGAGGAACAAATTTTTATTTTTTATTAGTATTGTTATGGTAATTTACCAACACACACATGGACTCTCCCAGCTATAAATAGGAGCAGGTACTGCCTTTTGAAGAGGGAATTTTCCAGCAGTCAGCTCTGACAGTTGGACTGAACATTCTTGCTGTAACACTCTTGTTTGTATTACTGTTTCTGTTAATATATTTAACTCAATTCCTCTCTTTGTGTCTTTATTTCTGGCCCTAACTAGGCCACAACAAGTATATACATTACAAGTAAAAAAAATAGGAGTCATTTTGCATTTCTTTAAAAAACATCTTAAAAGGAGATATTTTGTATTTTTTAGAGTAAGAGATAAAATTTCACAAACGAAAAAGTATTTGCATTTATTTTGACAAAAAATAAGCGCTATAAAACTATCAAACAACAGCATCATATTTTGTTTTCATCAATAAAACCACCACCGACTTTAATTACTACTTTTCAAATTCTTGGTATTCTTTGAAAAAAAAGTAAATAGCAGACCTTCCCAGACATTCTTCAAGCACTGAAAAAGCTCACTTTAACTCTTTGGGTATTCTCTTCAAACTCTCCTGTCCAATTCATTCCATACTAATTTAGTGGGAGATTGAGGTGGCCAAGTTATATTTTCCAAAATCTTGTTCTTTTTGTTGACTCAAGGTAATTTAACATAATTTAGAAGAGTATTTTGGATCACTGTCTTGATGAAAGATGAATTTTTTTCTTCCAATTATGGATAAACAATATGGTACAGCATGTCTTGGCAAAATCAACTGATACTGTTCTTTTTTCAAGGTTCCCTTGACCTGAATCAAATCTGCAGCCCTTTTGGTAATCTCAAAAAAAAAAAAAAATTCTGATGACAGGTTAATGGTGAAAACAAAATATTCATAATTTAGCAAAATATATTGTGGACAGATGAATTCAAATTTGAACTTTTTGGTAGTAAGAGGAACATGGAGAAAGACTGAAAAATATAAGCAAATGCACTATAGTTACTGAAATTTTATCTTTTTACCATATATATATATATATATATATATATATATATATATATATATATATATATATCAGTGCTCAAGACTAACTTTTTCACCATCATTCCAGAACACAACCACAAAAAAATTTAAACCATCCCAAAATCACATTTGTAGCTGTCAGTAGCATATTGATAACACTATTAAATAAATTTAAAAAATACATTAAAGTTTTAAAAATGTATAAATACATAAATAAATTAAATTTTATTGTAGTTTTTATAAAAATAATCTTTTTGTATTTAAACTTTTTGATTAGATCACCATGAATAATTTTACATGGAAATGTTATTAATTAATTTAATACTTAGAATACATTTTATCATACTTTAAGCATTGTGCTATTTGTTTTCAGTTTTTATATGAAATAATATTAGAACATTCCAACTATTCACAATCAAAAAAGATTTTTTAAAATTTTTATCAAATAATTTTCATTTACAATTATCATGTTTAAGAATTTTTGAGGGTCTGCTGTTCAATTCCATTTAGCATCTTTACATAGAAGCTTGTGCCATTTTGCAGTTTTTGAGGAAAATTTGTGAACAAATACAGCACTCTAATGTTGATCATTTCTAAGAAAGAGTGTAATTCTGTAATGTTTTTACGTGACTCAGTCAAAAAATCGGACCTTGTTAGCATGAAAGAGATTTATTTAAAGTGCCTTTGAGTAAAACTGAAAAAGAAGAAAGAGCATAATTCTGTAATTCACCCTGTTGAAAGGCTTTCATCTTATTTGGATCAGGGCATATGCAGTTAACAGAAAATCAAACACCA